GAATATTCCCTTTTTGTCCCTCCAGATTCATTTCCACCCTTCTCCACTCTACTCTGTGACCTGGAGACTGGCCTCTAGGGTTGCTTCCTGGCCACTTGATTTCTGGCTAGGTTCAGCCAATGAGAGGACCAGCAAGAGATTAGGTTATGGGAGTGATTCAGGTAGCACCCTCACTCTAGGCCTTTCCAACGACTCATCTGCTTTCTGTCTCTACAGGAGTGATTTCTTCTCCTGCCTCCATCACTGGTGGGTTGTGATTTGCAGGGACTGGCTTCTGCTACTTAAAACTATTTATGCCTAGTGTTCCATTATTGGAACGCTACACATGTGGGAGTTATTTATATCCTGCTGCTCAAAGTCATTGCCAAGGTCTGACTGCAAAAATTCAAAAAATTGCAACCTCCAGCATAGATGGGTTCACATTACAGTACCTGTCAGGTGCTTCTCTCTTATAGTTCTTGCTGAAATCTGGTAAATTCTCTCTTCCTGCACTTGGGAGTTATATTAACTCTGTAGTTCCTAGCCCAGGGTGCTCCAACCTTCCTCATCAGTTTTCCTAAACCTGCCCAAACTTTTGCATAGAATTCCATCAATCAACTCTTTGCAAAGGCTATCTTTTTCTGGCCATGACCTTGACAGGTAATGTTGGCTTCAGAAGCCATCCCAAAGTAACACAGGTAGTCAGTAAAATAGGCAATACTATAGGATTCCAGGGAATACTGGAGGATGAGCAGATTTGGAGGAGGTGGGAGGAATGTTCAGTTAGGTTTTGGACATGTTGAACTAGAGATGCTTTCTAAACAACTTTGTAGGGGGCCCAAGAGAGAGCAGAATAAGGATCTAGAGCTCCCAGGAGTGGGTAGGATGAGGACACATATGGAATGAAAGGGAAGTCATGGGACTAGGTAAAAGATCCCAAAGAACGTGCTCAGTGTAATAACAATAAGAATAGAACTGATTTCTAAGGAAAACCAACCTTAAGGGCTAGGGAGATCAATAATAAAGTCAGCAGAGCTTTGGGAAGGATATTAAAGTGATGGACACCTTCAGGGTCCTGAAAGCTTTGACAAGAGAAGATCTCAAAGAAGGTGTGAATGATTGAGTACAATGTCCCTAAGAAGCTAAGAACAATAGAGACTGAAAAGTTGTATTAGATTTTCTTTTTTTGTGTGGTAAAATACACATAACATTTACTGTTTCAGCCATTTTAAAGAGCATAATTCAGTGGCATCAAGTATATTCATGACGTTGTGCAACCCTCACCACTATCGTGTTCCAGAACATTTTTAACACCCTCAACAGAGTTCTCTACCCATTAAGCAGTTACTGCCAATTCTCCCCTCTCACTAGGCCCTTGCAATCACTCACCTGCTTTCCGTCTCTACAAATTTACCTATTCTGGAAAATTCCTATGAATGAAATTATGCATATGTGGTCTTCCATTATATTTCATAACAAAAAGGCTGTGAGTGGGGAATGCTAACAAATCTCAAGTTTCGTGACAGTAAAAAAAAAAAAAATTAAGAGACAGAATTTACAATTTTCTCCCAGACCCCATCTTCCCTAGGAAATTAGCAGTTGACTTAAGGTAGAAGCATTTAAATGCCCAAATATCTCAATACACCTTCTGTTCCTCTCATTTGTGGGGCTAATTGCTTCAGGACATTGTCATATGGGTCCTTCTTGTCTCTAACCTCTTATTTATCTGCAGGAATCTAGAATCCTCTCAGGTATTAAAGAGTTAGAAAATTTAAGATCTTTAAAATCAGAGATGTGGGTGTTGGACCAGGTAAGAAGAAAGATTGAGTGACCCATGGAGATTCTGAGCACCAAAAAAAGGTATTCTAAAATAGTGTTTCTTAAGCTATCTTTGGAAAAGCAGTATTTTCCTCTAATACTTCACAGACCAATACTTGCAAACAATACAATAACAATGAATTACTAGAAAAATAAAATCAAAACAAAACCTTTTGTTAGATTTATTAGATTCAAAATTATTTTGCAAATTGCCATAAAAGTTTTTAAGTAATGGTTCTCAATTTCTGCAGTCACCTCATTGTGGTACAATAAAATATGTTTAATGTTTTAATGACACCAACATTAGAGGACTGTAGGAAACACAGTTATCCAAGCCTACCTTCTTGATATAACCTGGATTTCCATGATCAATACAAGCCTGAATCAAAACAGTTCCTCTGAGACTAGCCCAAGACATCACATTGCTTTACCAGATGGAATTTCTTGACTTCACAAATATAATAATCAGTCAAGTTATTTAGAATTAGATTTAATTTTCTCCATTTAAGGTCACAACAGGACCAGAAGAGTTTTTCTGGCGGAAGGACTATTAGAAAAAGAACTATAGAAAAACTACAGAAAAAGAATTTCACAGAAGTAACGGAGCAGAAGCCAGATTATTAGGAGTAGGTGAGCGAACAGGTGTGAAGAATTAGAGACCCTGAGATTGTTACAGGCTACTATCAGGCAATAAGAGACAAATGTGACGTTCAGGGAATTTGACATTTTATTTTTGTTTGCTTACTTGTTTTGTTTATTTTGTTATTCCTGTTTTAATATGGGAGAGACTTGAACTTGCTTTTAAAGTGATACAATGGACCAGAAAAGAGAGAGAGGCTTAAGTGAAAGAAGAAAATGTTAGAAGGGAAAGGTTAAAAAGGAAAGAAGGAAAGTGGATACAGGTGGGAGATAATGAGATTCTGAGCAAGGGCTGCATGTTAGTCCGTTTTCCCACTGCTGTAAAGAACTATCTGAGACTGGGTAATTTATGAAGAAAAGAGGTTTCACTGACTTACAGTTCTGCAGGCTGAACAGGAAGCATGACTAGGAGGCCTCAGGAAACTTAAAACCATGGTGGAAGGCAAAGGGGAAGCAAGCACCTTCCTCACACAGTGGCAGGAGAGAGAGACGGAGGAAGTGCCACACACTTTTAAACCATTAGATCTCGTGAGAACTCTTTCACTATCGCGAGAACAGCAAGGGGAAAATCTGCCCCCAGGATCCCATCACCTCCCTCCAGGCCCCTCCTCCAATTTGACATGCGATTTGGGTGGAGACACAAATCCAAACCATATCATATATTGGAAGACAGATAAGGCAGGAGGAGGAAGGGATGCAGAAGAGCAATAGTCGGTGATCACTTGGGAGCTATGCACTTTATGTTGGAACCTAAAGTTTATAGCAAAAGAAGTGGGGAAGAGAAGATGGATGTAAAGCAGAGGAAATAAAAAACATGTTGGAACCCAAAGATGTGAGTGGAACCCCACAAGGACAGACAGAGACTTGCATCAGGGTTTTTGTTGTTGTTGTTGTTGTTGCTTTTGTCTCTAAGATTAATGATATGAGTGTCTTGCAGTAGCCAGGGGCCTTAAGCAAACGTAGGCACCTGGCCGGACAGCCAAAGGCAATGAAAGAGGATTCAGCAGAAGGAACTGTTGCAAGTCAAACTGCTGCCCCTTGCCAGTAAGAATCAACAGATCAACAGCAACATGAGTGAGCCGCACAATGGCCAGTGCTCCAACCAGCTCTTCTTTCAGGTCTCTCCTGAATCCCAACTAGGAGCAGGCAGGGAAGGGGATTCTAGGAAATTCAGTTCCACTTAGCTTAATTACAAAGCCAGTGCAGTGTAAATACCAGTCAGTTTTAGGGAAAAAAAAAAACAAAAAAACAAACCTTCAGGGTTTTCTCACCTGCTTCTAATTTCTCTTTAGGGAATCTCCCAGGTAATCTGCTGGGAGTGAGGCGGCTATGAGTGATGATGGTGATGCCATTATTGGACTCCAGAGGGCAGTAGTGAATAGCAATAGTGAATAATGAAGCCAGCACCATTCACTCCCATTCAACTTTGTACTGGAGTTTCTGGCCAGTGCAATAAGACAGGTAAACAAAATGCATAAGTTCAGGAGGAAAGAGGTAAAACTGTATCTATTTTCAGATGGCATGATTAGTTAAGAGAAAAATCCGAAGGCATCAATAAAACAACTAGTGGAATAAATGAATTCAACATGATCGTATGATCAACGTCAGTACACAAAAAATCAATTATAATTTTACATTCTAGCAGCAATTAGAAATGGAAATAAAAAAATCTTCCACTTATAGTCACACCTAAAATGTAAAATGTCTCAGGCTAAACTTAATGAAAACAATGTATAAGACCTCAACTGAAAACCATAAGTTATTGCTGATTAAAATTAAAAATCGCCTAAATAAATGTATAAATATATCAAGGTCATGGATTGGAGGAGTTTACATTATTAAAATGTCAGCGATTCCTAATTTGATCTATAGATTCAATTCACTTCCAATGATAACTCCAGAAGCCTTTATTAAACAAACAAATGGATGAAATCTGCTTTTAATATGTAAATGGTGCTAGGTGTGGTGGCTCACACCTGTAATCTCAGCAATTTGGGAGGCTGAGGCAGGTAGATTGCTTGAACCCAGGAGCTGGAGACCAGCTTGGGCAATGTGCTGAAACCTCTTCTCTACAAAGAACATCTTAAACGTTAGCCAGGCATGGTGGCATGCATCTGTAATCCCAGCTACTCAGGAGTCTGAGGTGGTAGGATCACCTGGGCCTGGGAGGTTGAAGGTGCAATGAGCCAAGATCACACCACTGCATTCCAGTTCGGACAACAGAAAGAGACGCTATCTTAAAAAAAAAAATGAAAATGGCAGTGCAAAGATGATAGAATATTTAAGTAATTTTGATGAAGTGAACAGCTTTGGAGAACTAATGCTACCTTACTTAATCTGACTTCTCATAAAGCTACTTTATCAAGAAAGTGTGATGTGTACACAGTGAGGACAACTGAATCAGTGGAACAGTCTACAACAATGGTCACCAACCTTTTTGGCACCAGGGACAGTTTCATGAAAGACAATTTTTCCACAAATCATGAGGGATGGGGAATGGTTTTGGGATGATTCAAATGAATTACATTTATTGTGCACTTTATTTCCATTGTTATTACATTGCAATATCTAATGAAATAATGATACAACTCACCATAATGTAGAGTCAGTGGGAGCCCTGGGCTTGTTTTCCTGCATCTAGATGGTCTTATCTGGGGGTGAAGGGAGACAGTGACAGATCATCAGGCATTAAATTCTCATAAGGAGCATGCAGCCTAGATCCCTCACATGTGCAGTTCACAATAGTGTTTGTGCTCCTATGAAAATCTAAAGCTGCTGGTGATCTGACAGGAGGCAGAGCTCTAGCAGGAATGTGAACAATGCAGCGTGGCTGTAAATACAGATGAAACATCACTTGCTCACCTGCTGCTCATCTTCTGCTGTGTGGCCTGGTTCCTAACAGACCAGGAACCAGTACCCATCTGTGGCCCCAAAGTTGGTATAGAGACTCAAGCTTGCATAGCCAAATAATTTTAGACAAAGATACCAAAAGCAGTTCACCGGGGAAAGTATCCTGGTTCACTGGGAACTTAGTATCTTTCTATGGCATACACAAAAATCATTTTGAGGTGGAGCATAAACCTAAGCATAAAAGTCAACAACATAAAGTTTCAGAAGAAAACATAGGTCAATATCCACACAAACTGAGAGTAGTTAAACATTTCCTAGCTAAGACACAAAAAGAGAAAAAAACCAATAAATTAGACTTTGTCACAACTAAACATTTTTCCTCATCAAAAGTCATCATTAAGAAAATATATCGAGAAGCCAGATTATTTTAAAAAGTGAGAAAGATATAGCTGACCAATGATTTCATGAGAATATATATATTGAACTCCTACAAATCAATAATAAAAAGACATGAAATCCAATTAAAAATAAACAAAGCTTTTAAAATCCTCTTGCAAACAAAGATATAGTAATTTTAAATAAGCACACAAGTAGGTACTCAATACCATTAGCCATCATGAAAATGCAAAATCAAAACCACAATGGCATTTCACTACACCTTCACCTGGATTGCTAAAACTAATAGACTGACAATACCAAATGTTGGCAGGGATGCAGAGCACCGAGGACTCTTCCCATAATGCTGGTGGGTGTATATAAAAGGTGCAACAACATTTAAAAAGAATTGGCAGCTTCTATCCAACAACCTAGAAATTTTACTCCTCGAAATGTATCAAAGAGAAATGAAAAGAGATGCCCACCAAAAGCATGCTGATAGCAGCTTCTTTATAATAGCTCCAATTGGAAACAACCAAAAAAGTCATTAACAGAAAAGTGTGTAAGCAACTTGTAGCATATTTATGCCCTAGAATAACAATTTAGAAATAAATAGGAATAGACGAGTTATACATATAATATCATGGATAAATCACTTCAACATCATGCTGGGTGAAAGAAGCCAGACACAAAAGAGAATTTAACGTGTGAATCCACTTACACAAAATTTAAAAACTAGGTAAAACTTGTCTGTGGTGGAAAACATCAGACAAATGATCATCTCTTTTTGGTAACTGACTGGGACCTGGGTTTAACGAGACTTTTTGGTGTGGTAGAAATGTTGCTGTATCTCTTGATAGGATTGTGGGTTACATGGACATATACATTTTGCAAAACTCGTGAACTATATATTTAAGATGCATGCATTTTATTTTATACACATTTTGCCTTAAGAGGAATTCTTTAAAAATTTGAACTCTGGTAAATTGGATTGCTTTTCATGGTGGAATGAGTTGGCAATTCTGAAACTATTTTTTGTGTATACTGGGCTTTAGCAAAAGAGTAAATATTTTGAAGATAATGAGATCTAGGTTATTTCATTGTTAGAAAATGCAGTTACTAATATGGAAGGGAAAAAAACTAGAATGTTCCTTGTGCTATTGGAATGAAATTAAAAGTATCAGTATAAACTCATGGTTTTTAATATAGGGGTGTGTGTGTGTGTGTGTGTGTATACACATGTATGTGTATCTTAGTCTCTCTGCTGAGAGGGTCTAGAAGCAATGATATAGTAATAGCAATGAGTATATCTAGACCCAGATTTTGATTTCTAAATATCAGTTTCCTCTGAAAGGAATTACAGTTCCTTGCATTTTTAAGGCCATACCTAGAGCTGGGGAAGAAAGAGTATACACTGAGCCTGAGACTCCTTTTTGTGCCAGAAAGTAAGGAAGTGATGAAAAACAATGTGGATATATCAAAAGGACACAGGGCCAACATGAAAGAACTCCCACTGGCTTAGGCTGATACAGTTTGAGTATTAAATAATGATAGTAGATTACAATTCATTGACTAAAATAAGAATCTGAGTTCATAGTGATGCAAGTGACAAATAAGTAAATGGAGAAGACAAGCTCTTCCTATGGTAGAATGTCAACTATTAATAATAAATATAGAAGGATTAATGGAGTTGGAAAAGCATCAAGTAATACTAAACCATGCTTTGAAAGTTTCTTTAAGAAACAGGATACATACAGCTTCAATGTGTCTCTGCACAAGTTTTTATTATGAAGGAGAAGTAGTGACTTCACAGTGGAGAACCCTGGCAGACACCACATTAAGCAAGTGATTTTGAGGCACATTCAAGAAATAACTGATATAGTTTGCTTTTATAGATTGCTTTTCACAGTGGAATGAGTTGGCAATTCTGAAACTATTTTTTGTATATCCTGGGCTTTAGCAAAAGAGTAAATATTTGTCTCCACCCAAATATTATGTTGAATTGTAATCCCCAGTGCTGTATGTGGGACCTGGTGGGAGGTGTCTGGGTCATGGGGGTGGATCCCTTATTGCTTGCTGCTATCTTCGTAACAGCGAGTTCTCACAAGATCTGGTCATTTAAAAATATGTGGCACTCCCCCCACACACACACACTCTCTCTCTTTCCATCACATACACACACACACACACACACACACACACACACACACACACACACACACACACACACACACACACTTGCTCCTACCTTCACCATAACTGCCTTCTCCTACTTTGCCTCTGCCATGATTGTAAGCTTCCTGAGGCCTCTCCAGAAGCTGATGCCAGAGCTATGCTTGCTGTACAGCCTGCAGAACCAGGAACCTCTTATTTTTATAAATTATGCAGTCTCAGGTATTTCTTTATAGCAATGCAAGAATTGCCTAATACAATAACCAATCAGGGCTCTTTAAAAATATCAAGGTCAAAAAACAAAATAAAAGAGGAAAAGTCTGGGGAACATTCTAGGTGAAAGAAGACTACAGATATAGCAACTAAATGCAGAGGTGGGAGGATTGCTTAAGCCAAGAAATTAGAGGATGCAGTAAGCTATGATCATGCCACTGCACTCTAGCCTGGGCAACAGAGTGATACACTGTTTCACAAAGAAAAAAGAAATATACATGAAAGTTAATAATCAAGAGGTATGATACCTCCAATTTCTCAAATGTTTCATAAAAAATACGTAGGATGATGAGTCAAAGGAGGCAAAATATCAGTAATTTGTGAACGTAGATAAAAGATATTGAGATTCTCTTGCAGTCATCTTGCAGCTTTTCTGTAAGTTTGGAATTTTATAAAAATCACAAATTGAGAGAGAGAGAAAGAGGGAGAGCCCAGGATGTGATTCCTAATGAACAGGGCTGCTAGCCAGGCTGTTAAGGTTCGTAAGTTCTTGGCTAAACAAGCCGAGGCCATCCCTGGGTTGGCAGGCACTGATGGGCAGAAACTGATTATTGTAAGTCTGTAAACCAGAGAGCTGGTTTCGACCATAAAATTGGAAGTTAAAAAAACTCATATTGTGCTGTAGGCAATTTAATTCCTTTGCATATGTTATTTGAAAAGTTACTTTATAATTACAAGCATAACTAATACAAAGTTACATACTTTGTAATTAAAGACCTTGTGGGGTAAGGAAAACACATTAGGAACTAGAAATGACCTTTCTTTTTTTCTGTTTTTTGTTTGAGACAGGGTCTTGCTGTCACCTAGGCTGGAGTGCAGTGGCACAAACACTGCAGCCTTGACTTCTTGGGCTCAAGGAATCCTCCTGCTTCAGCCTCCCAAGTAGCTGGCACCACAGTTGCACGCCACCATGCCTGGTTAACTTTTTGTGTGTTTTTTTGTAGACATGGCATCTCACTATGTTGCCCATGCTGGTCTCAAATTCCTGGCCTCAAGCAATCCTCCTGCCTCAGCCTCCCCAAACTCTGGGATTACTGCACCTGGCTTTGAAACTGGCATTTCTATGCAAGTGTGTGTGCCAGGCACTGGTCCAACAATATCTCCCTGGATCTTCCCAATAACCCCCACTACCACACTCAGGTAGAAGTGATCATGTAGATTTTACAGAAGAGGCAACTGAGGTATTAAAAATTTGTCTTGGCTAGGTGCAGTGGCTCACACCTGTAATCCCAGCTCTTTGAGAGACGAAGATGGGAGGATCACTTGAGCCCACGCATTTGAGACCAGCCTGGGCAGCATAGTGAGACCCCATCTCTACATAAAATAATAATAAAAAAATTAGCTGGGCATGGTGGCATGTGCCTATAGCTCCAGTAATTCTGGAGGCTGAGGTGGGAGGATCACTTGAGCCTAGGAATTTGAGGCTGAAGTGAGCTGTGATCGCACCACTGTACTCCAGCCAGCGAGGGCAACAGGGAGAGACTCTGCCTCTAAAAAATAAAAAAAATAAAAATAAACAAAAAAAAAAAAAAAAAAAAACAGATGCTGGAGAAGATGTGGAGAAATAGGAACACTTTTACACTGTTGGTGGGAGTGTAAATTAGTTCAACCATTGTGGAAGACAGTGTGGCAATTCCTCGAGGACCAAGAAATAGAAATTCCTTTTGACCCAGCAATCCCATTACTGGGTATATATCCAAAGGATTACAAATCATTCTACTATAAGGACACGTGCACACGAATGTTCATTGCAGCACTGTTTACAATAGCAAAGACCTGGAACCAACCCAAATGCCCACCAACGATAGACTGGATAGGGAAAATGTGGCACATATACACCATGGAATATTATGCAGCCATCACAAACGATGAGTTTGGGTCCTTTGTAGGGACATGGATGAACCTGGAAACCATCATTCTCAGCAAGCTGACAGAAGAGCAGAAGATCAAACACCGCATGTTCTCACTCATAGG